TGAAACAGTAAATAAAAAACCTCCCAATAAGCAAAGTCCAGAATCCGCTTCACTGGCAAGTTTTACCAAACTTTCAAGGAAGATTTACTACCTATCTTTCTCAAACTCTTCCAAAAGAGGAGGAATAGCTTCCAAACATACTTTACAAGGCCAGACATTACTCCCAAAACGAGGCAAAAACACAAAAAAAGAAAATTATAGGCCAATATCCTTGAGGAACACGGAAATAAAAGTTCTAAACAAAATACTAGCAATTCTAATCTAATGATACATTAAAAAGGACCATACACCTCAATCAAGTGGGATTTATTCCAGGAATGCAAGTCATTTGATCATCTCAATAGATGCAGAAAAACCGTGTGACAAATTCAATACCCATTTATGTTAAAAATTCTCAACAAAGGGACACCCAGGTGGCTCAGTCAGTTAAGTATCCAACTGCAGCTCAGGTAATGATCTCACAGGTCATGATCTCATGGCCTATGAGTTTGAGCCCTGCATTGGGCTCTGCACTGACAGCTCAGATCCTGGAGCCTGCATTGGATTCTGTGTCTCCCTCTCTCTCTGCCCCTCTCCTGCTTGCGCTCTCTCAAAAATAAACATTGAAAAACAAAATTCTCAATAAAGTAGGTACAGTAGGGAATGGAACTTAATAAAGGCCATATATGACAAAAGTATAGCAAACATCATACTCAGTGCAAAGCTGGAAGACAGACTTTCAGCTAAGAGCAGGAACATGACAAGAATGCCCATTCTCCCCTCTTTTATTCAATATATAGTACTTGAAGTCCTAGCCACAGCAATTAGGCAAAAGAAAAGGCAGCCAAATCAGAAAGGAAGAAGTAAAACTATTTGCAGATGACATGATACTATACATAGAAAACCCTAAAGACCTCATCAGAAAACAGCTAGAACTAAAAAAATCAGTAAAGTTGCAGGATATAAAATCAATGCACAGAAATCTGTGGCATTTCTACACATTAAGAATAAAGCATCAGAAGAAGTTAAAAAAACAATTCCATGTGCGATTCACAATTACATCAAAAAGAATAAAATACTTATGAATAAACAATCAAAGAGGTGAAAGACCTAGACACTTACTAGACACTGATGGAAGAAACTGAACACACAAAGGGAAAGCTGTTCTGTGCTTATGGATTTGAAGAATTAATATTATTAAAAATGCCCATACTACCCAAAGGAATCTACAGATTCAATATAATTCCTCTTAAAATTCCAATGGCATACTTCACAGAATTAGAACAAATAATTCTAAAATTTGTATGGAACTACAAAAGATCCCGAATAGCCAAAGCAATCTTGAGAAAGAAGAACAAAGCTGGAGGTATCAAGCTCCCTGATTTCAAACTATTTCAAACTACAAAGCTGTCATGATCAAAGCAGTATGGTATGGGTACAAAAACAGACACAGAGATCAACTGGAACAGAACTGAGAACCCAGAAATAAGGGCACACATATTGGGGCAACTATTTTACCACAAAGGAGCCAAGAACACATATTCTGGAGAAAAATCAGTTTCACTTATATGTGGAATTTCAAAAAACAAAAAGGCAAACAAAATAAAAACATTACAGAGAATAGACTGGTGGTTACCAGAGAAGGAGGTGGTCAACTGTACAATGACTAGATTTGTGGTGGTGATCACTTGATAGTATATACAGATGAAGTATAAAGCTGTACACCAGAAAACTTATATAATAAAGATTTACATAATTCTCTTTAATGCTGATCATAAATTTACACAATTGCTTTCTGATGAAGATAAAAATTAAAAATACCCAATTCATGCATTTTTGTTAGAACTGCTGTTTTAAAATCCCTAACAATGCAAATTAAACATAAATTGCTTTAACTTTTGTTAAAGGTGCACACTGGACTTTCTGGAAAAAAAAATCTTATTAATGTTAGTTATTACTTTCTTATCACAGCACCAGAATTCAATTTTATTTATGGTTCCTCTCTGGGACACCATTGTCTGGTAATAAAACAATAAATAATTTAATTGCACAGGTTTGAAGACCTCAGGAACTAGGGTAAAGGCGAAATTCGATTAGCAGCAGAATCACATAACATGTTTGGTTGCAGATTAGTGGCTGACTTGTGGGGAAAGGGGTGTCTTGCTCTGGGTTTTCAAAAAGCTCACTTCATGGTCTCAGAGAAACCTTTTAAGGAGATTCGTGCATTCACTGTATTTGTACACTGTAAAAAATAAAGATTTTTTTTTACAAAAAGTCTGATTTGAAGATGAAATGAGAAGCTGTCTGCTTTTGAACCAAACTAAACTATTCTTGGGAATAATTTTTGAAGAAATGAGAAATTTGTTACCACAAGAGGGGCTTTTCAGGCAAATGCAGAAAATTTGTAGATACTAAAGAAAGTGACAGTCATGAACCTTCCTGGAATCTCAGGAAAAATACGCCCAGAATGGAATAGAGCAGTTACTGTGAAAAGCTGTGTGAGCACTGGTAGAGTCCAGAAAGGTCACCATAGGGAAAAATCTTTCATCTTTCACAAAAAATGGAAAGGCAGCCCAGGTAAGGAGAACATGGACTCCAAGCATACACAAACCAAATCAGGCAGGACAGGAAGAATTTTAAGGCACATCTTGCAAACCTCCACAACCCACAGAAGATGTTCTTCATATGATGATGATGTAACAAACAATATTCATTATGTGCCAGGCCATGTCCTTAATGTTTGAAGTCTTACAAACACATTTAGAGAAAGAAAGGAAACGTAACCAGCAAGATTAGATTCTATATGACGCCTCAATAAGAGGCCCAAAAGGTACACTAAGGGGCAGAAAGGACATTATAGAAAGTTTTTTTCTAAGAAATAAAAATTCTCATTCCAAATTGCTCCTAAAATGGATAAATTAACTCTCCAGATGTTCTCATTAAGGGAATCAGAATACATGTAAATACACTTCTGGAATACTACTGCATCTACCAAGATTTCTGAAGGCATTTGGGATGACCAAAGGAGATGGCTGAACAATACTTGGCTCCTATTTATAAGCTTCACAGACAAACTGTGGTGCTAAAGATTATGGAATCTTACGTCTCCAGACCCACTGAGCTGGATGAGTCTGGTGAACAGTTTACCTCTTGGGGAAACAACTTGGTTTCTTCTAGAGGAAACAGTATCTCTCCTTAATCACACGGGACAACATTTGGTGTATGATGACTGGTTCCAGCACCCTACTTTTTTGGGGGAAAGATGGGTCTAGAAGCCATTCGGTATGCTAAAGAAGAGACCATAAAGGACTTGGGAGTTTTCTCAAAAGATTGAAAAGCTGCAGAAGGAGGGATTAGAGCAGAACTAAGACCACTGAGAAGATAGGTAATTTCAGCCCAATATAAAACGGATTTTAACATTAGTACAGTCCAAAAATGGGATAAGCTGTCCAAACACATGCCTAAACAGAAGATGAATGATAACCAATTAGAAATGTTCAGGGAATTTTGCAATGGGCTGAAGACTGGGTTTTATCTTCGGCAGTTTTCAACTTTCTAAAGATTCTATTATTTAATTATGTAGCATCTTTTGAGGAAGACAGTAGGTATAAAGGTGACCTCAGTATAATAAAAGAAGAATCTTAAACTACACAGTTAATTAAAAAACAACTAAAATTTGGGGTATGAGGATATAGAAATTTGCCTACTTGCACATTTCAGATGTTAAATATTTATTGACTCAATGGAATGACTAAGAAATAAGTTTCCCCAGGAACTAGTGTAAGGGCCAGGTATATTTAACACCTTTTTCGAAAGAGCTAAAAGAGTCTACTGTGACAGCTATAAGTCTGGCAACACACAAACTTTGTTGTAAAGAAGCTGGAGGCAAAGAGCTAAGGTAAAGGAGCCACACTATACAAAGATCTTTGAAGTCCTAAGAGCAACTCAGTGGGTAGACAAGCAGCTGATGATGATCCTGTAAAAAACCAAAAAACAACCCCCACACACATAAATAAAAGATAATGAATTTGAATTTTAGGGAAAATAATTCACAAAATCAAAAGAGCTCACAACACTCAAACAAAAAGGGAATCCACTGGACTGATGTGGGACAAAATGAACAATCAAATCAAATGTTAGGTACCATCAAGAAAGACACCAGAAACCCTGGAACTAGGCAAATAATTTAGAGGAAGTTAGCTAAATGATCAGAGTCAGGGCAGGAAGAGATACTACTATAAACGGAAAGTATAAAAGAGCAAACTACAAGGAGCTGTGACCCAAATCTAGACCGCTGAATAGCACAGCCACAGGCATCTCAGCACAGACCAAAAGCTGGGGTAGATGAATTTCTTAGAAATACAAAGAACACTCATTTAGGATGAGAAATTAACTATAAACACATTTGCCTGGGAGGAGGAACTGGCACTGAATATACACGCATTCCTATAAAGTTGGATATGTTAATTAATCCCAGGGTTGCCTGATTAAAGTCGATTAAAAGAAGGTCTATTCAAGGGAGCTACACTCTCCCAAACCTTGTCCCTAGAGACCAAATGGCTTACTTTTTTAGGCTGGGGTCTGCACAGTGAGAACTTGCTCTCTCTCCTGCCAAGATTTAGGATGGCTCTCAGTTGGCTAATGGGAACTGGCACAAAGCAGGATCACACAATTTCAGATATGTTACCTTTTTTCTCCCTTTGAGTTACACATGAAAAACATAAAACAGGTTTGTTTTTTGATTTTTGTTTTTTAGGAGAGGAGAGCAGAAAGAGGGTGGGACATGGCAATGTGTAGGGAGGAGAAAAAAATACTGGTGTTAATAGGTCATGAAATTGCAATCAGTGGGCTTAGTTTAGTGTGTAAGGAAAATTAGTATGTTCAAAGGAATGAGGCACTCAAAGGGCTGAAATGTGATTTTTTTCTTTGGTTCCCAGGGACCTGTCCCTGGGCTCGCCAAGGTTAAGCTTCAAAGCTATTCCTTTTGGCTGTGACACACAAAGACTCTCAAAGATTTAGACTCTGGTGCCAGCTGTGCAAGCAGAGTGGTAAGGTCAAGAGTTCACATTAGATACATAAAATTAATTAAACCCAAATCTCCAGACTCAAGGGCAAGACTTGTCTTCAAAAGCTCCTTACTCCTGATGACTCGAGTTGCTAGGCTTCAGTCCAGGCTATCCTCAGACTAGCTCAGAACATGACTTAGTCCTCTCTCCTTCTACCTTTAAAAAGGTTGTTGGCGAATGCAATCCTCGGAAGAAGGGCCTCGCCTCAGTGGGAGATGCCCAGAGACTGCAGCAGGTGAAAGGTGGCCCCCAAGGCCCAGCCTGTCTCTATGTTGTTTACTTTCTTTGAGAGCTGTTGAGGAGAAAGAAAAAAGTTCATATTTATTTTCAACTCTGGCAAGCATGACACAGGCAGAGAATATCTACAAAGATCATCCACATTAGGGGTGCCTGGGGGCTCAGTCGGTTAAGCATCTGACTTTGGCTCAGGTCATGATCTCGCGGTTTATGAGTTTGAGCCCTGCACTGGGCTCTTGCTGACAGCTCAGAGCCTGGAGCCTGCATTGGATTCTGTGTCTCCCTCTCTCTCTGCCCCTCCCATGCCCATGCTGTCTCTCTCTGTTTCCCAATAATAAATAAACGTTTAAAAAAAAAAAAAAAAGATCATCCACATGGCCAAACCAAGGCAAATTTTGGAGTAACCAGTCTTTGGAGGCTTCCCACTATCCCTCTCTGTTAACAGTTTCCCTCTTGCCATGGCTATTGCCCCTACATCTGCCAATATGATCTCTGAATCTTCTGGCTTGGAAGTGGTCTCACCCAGGCCTTCTAGACAGGATCTTTTAGACAAATAGGCTTCTGAATTCTTTCCCTAATCCTGAAACTAAATACACAAGAGGTGGGAAGAGATTTAGGGGTAGGAAGGAACATACTAAACTTCACTATTCATATTTTGTAAACAACTGCATCTTCTCAAGCACTAATTAATAACCAACCAAGGCATTTAAGGAATTCTAGGCCAGGTTGTGTCTCAATCAGTTCAGTGACTTCGGGCAAATGTTTAAATCTGATTTCCTCTTATACATAAAAAGAAGATTAAATTAGTATTTATCAAATTGTTTTCTTCAGAATCTTAGGAGTTCTTGGAAGTGCTTCAAAACAGAAAAGGAGGCCAAATGCTGATCCTTCCAGGCCTCATTCCTCTGCTTCAACGAGATAGCTACACTTTGATCAGTTTTACTGGCATTCTGTAAAATCTTTTGTTAAACGACAATGCCATCAGTATAAACGACGATGTTAAACAACGATGCTATCAGTATAGCACCACATGCAAAAACGTTTGGGGACCAGTGGATTTGTTTTAATATTTTTTTCTAGGACAAATATGACATAATACTTCTGCGCTGACCAGATGAAATCTACACTAGTCACTGTGCCCAAAACTGGGAAGAATGGCATGTAAATCATCATCTTGAGATTTAGTCTGCAACACCTGAGTCAAGCTGGGAGTGCCCCCCGACCCCCAACCTCTAAATGCTCCTCTGTCCTCAGGACTGGGCTGAAAGCCCAAGGATATAGATGCTGAAGTGAACTGACCTCTGGGACAGGGAACTGCCTGTCACTGAATTTAATTCTTCTACCATTGAAATAATAAAGACTAAAATGATGCCAGCTCTGGAAATGCAGAAAACTGTCCTTAAAGGACTTGGTTATTGTTGATCCTTAAGTAGAGGAAATTAACTTAGTATGGATTAAGGACTTAGGATGACCTCTCTTATCCACAAATCTATCCTCAACTGGTGTGAAGTGCCAACACTAATAATACCAATATTAATAACTTCCTATGTGCCTGGCATTGTGCATTACATAACATTATCTCAATTTTCATAACAGCCCTATGAAATAGGTACTCTAAAGATCCCTGTTTCAGATGAAAAACCTAAAAGTTAGAGAAAGGAAGTAAATCATTTAAGATTACAGAGCTAGTAAGTTTGCAGAATCAGAACTTGAACCCAGATTTGATGGACAATACAGCCATGTTTTAAATACTATGTGATACTCTACTGGCAAGTAATTCTTTGTAAAGTACCTTAAATGCCAATATTCTTGTCATATATAAGACATTAAATCCAAATATCTTAGGCACGCCTGAGTGGCTCAGACAGCTGAGTGTCCGACTTCGGTTCAGGTCATGATCTCCTGGTTCATGGGTTTGAGCCCCACATAGGGCTCTGTGCTGACAGCTCAGAGCCTGGAGCCTGCTTTGGATTCTTTGTCTTCCTTTCTCTCTGCCCCTCCCCCAATTGTGCTCTGTATCTCTCTCTCAAAAATAAAAAAAATTAAAAAAAAAAACTTAAAAAATCCAAATACCTTAGTACAAAGTTTAAGAGTTTATGAAATCTGTGTAACATAAGAAATGGGGCAAAATAAACTCATCTGGAATTGAGGAAACAGGAAGAGGAAGTGGTGCAAGCAAGGGCACTCCAATGTTTATTTTTGAGAGAGAAAGACTATGTGAGCAGGGGAGGGCCAGGGAGGGAGACACAGAATCTGAAGCAGGCTCTAGGCTCTGAGCTATCAGCAAAGAGCCCAATGTGGAGCTCGAACTCACGAGCTATGAGATCATGACAGGAATCAAAGTTGAACGTTTAACTGAGTCATCCAGGCAACCATGAGGGCACTTCAAACACAAAGCACAGCCTACTTACTTGACCCCCAAAGTGCAAAGACGCCTATGCCATACTTATATTTTTGTCACATCTCCTTTAATAGACTAGATGCTATTTGAGGACAAGATTTAATTTTAATCAATCTTTGTAACCATAATGTACAATTATACAATATGGTACAGAAAATATAAATGGGATGGGTAAAACATAAAAGATGTGTTTAGAATAGATAAATAAGTTACTACAAAGTGGAGCCTGCATGTGCCTAAACAAATGGACAGAGGCAGCAAGACAAAAAGGGACACAAGATTCAAGAGGCGCTAAATATATGAGGCACGTATAAAATATATAGGACATACTACACATACATAAGGCACTCAACATTAATGAGAACTTGAATAAGGGACTCACTGTGACATCCTTTTGTCCTCCACCAAATAAAACTATCTAAAGGGCTAATGAGTGAGTGAATGCTACTAGCCAGTGTACCTGCCCCTATGCCTCTCCAAATAGAGCAAATTTGTGTGATAGCCCCAGGCATCTTCTGTCCTTGTCTCCCGTTGATCAGCTCTAGTACTTATAATTGTACTATCAGCAGCAGAGAGAGAGGCAGGTCATATGAACCCAGGATTTAAGAAGTATTGCATTTCCAACCTGTCCATTTCCAACCTATCCTGTATGTTCTCACCTATCCTATTTCTTTCCTTTTGCTTCTTGCTTCTTGCCCTGACTTTTGAACTTGATTTAATAAACCATGTGACTTAGGCATCTTAATTTGGGATGCAAGCTTTTCTGTCCTGTGACCCCTAGGATACTTTGCCTGGGAACATATTTAGAAGTTACCGTTGCATCAAGCTAATTTCCCACATTTATAGTATCCTGCAGAGTGCCTTGTCTGTAGCCCTAATAAAAACACCTCATAATTCCATCTGTAGACACTTTTATTACTAAACAAGTTCTAAAATCTTCCTTATTTCCAAAAAAAGTAGACTGTTATATGAATCCGGTGCCCTCTTTCTTACCTGTAAGACAGTACTGTCTGCAAAGCCAAAGCCATCCTTCAACAAGGCTGTGATGTAACTGAGATCCATGCATAGGAAAGGACTGCCTGAGGTGAAGTTTTCCAAGTTATCACACACTGAAAGGGAGAGACAGTGAAGAGCAGAATTTCAGGAGTAGAATATTGCATTGTATGTTAATTAACCAGAGTTTAAATTAAAAATTGGAAACAAAAAAAGGAAAAGATGCTCAACATCACTCATCATCAGGGAAATGCATATCAAAACCACAATGGGATATCACTTCATACCAATCAGAATGGCTAGTATCAAAACAAGAAATAAGTGTTAGCAAGGATGCGAAGAGAAGGAACACTCATGTACTGTTGGTAGGGAATGTAAATTGGTAGTGCCACTAAGAATAACAATATCCTGGAGGTTCCTCAAAAAATTAAAAATAGAAATACCATATGATCTAGTAATTCTAGGACTTCTTATTTACCCAAAGAAAATGAAAACACTAATTCAAAAAGATATAAACACCCCTATGTATACTGTAGCATTATTTACAACACCCAAATTATGGAAGCAGCTCAAGTGTCCACTGGTAGATAAATGGATAAAGAAGATGCTCATGCACGCATGCGCACACACACACACACTGGAATATTACTCAGCCATAAAAAGAAAAATATCTTGCCACTTGTGACATGAATAGACCTAGAGGATATTACGCTAAGTTAGACAGAGAAAATGCCATATGATTTTACTTATATGTGGAATCCAAAAAAACCCCAAAATAAATGAAAAAAGAAAAAACTGAACTCTTATTAAATAGAGAGAACTGGTTGTTGCCAGAGGGGAGATGGGTAGGGGAATGGGCAAAATAGATGAAGGAGATTAAGAGGTACAAACTTCTAGCTGTAAAATAAATAAGTCACAGAGATGAAAAGTATACCATAGGGAATATAGTTAATAATACTATAATAATGTTGTATGGAGACAGATCATGACTATACTTATTGTGGCAATCACTGCGTAATGTACAGAACTGAATCTATATGTTGTGTACCTAAAACTGATATAAAATTGTATGTCAATTATACTCCAATAAAAGGAAAAAAAGGAAGAAAGGAAGAAATATAGGAAGAAGAAAAGGTCTTCATCATTTCCCCAAAGCTTCTTGTATTCCCATGGCTTTCTATGCCACTTAATGCTTTTAACTCCTGGCAAAAATAAGAAACCAGCCTTCTGAGAGGCTTTCTGCTGACTGTGGTGCTTTGGGTCACTTTAAGGTCACTAGAGTTGGCAGGCAAAGCCTCATGGACTCTCCTTCAAGGGTTTCCACTGGCACTTACCTTCCCTTGCTTTTCTTTCAAAATCTTCAACTTTTAAAACACCCCCCGTTTCATAATCTAAAATGAAACAGTAGCTGATGTCAAAAAGCCTTCAAGGAAACATAAGGAAATTCACCCTAGTGAAATTTATAATAATGAAAAATTAGAAGTAAAAATTTCCAGCATTACAGAATGGGATAAACAAACATGACATATCAATACAATACAACCTATGTAGTCTATTTTATTTATAATTGTTCTATGTATATTTAACCACAACAAAAAAATGACCTTTTAAAAAACTCAGAAAATAGGAAATTCATATCTCAGGCCATGACAGATCACATACATACATTCATTCACAGAAATAAGATAAAGCATTATTACTATTGTGATAAGGAAATAAAAGTTATAAAGAGGGGAGGAGAAAACTTTTTGGGGTAATGGACATGTTATTTTGAATTTGGTAATGGCTTAATGGGTATACACATATGTCAAAACAATAAATTATACACTTTAAGTATTCACATTTTATGTTGATTATCTCAATAAAAATTTTTAAAAAAGATTTCATATGTATTTGCTTAGGCCACTTTCTAGCTCCAAAAGATTCTAAATCATATTCATCCTTCCACTGCAGTGACTAATGTCATTCAATCGCCAGCAATGGAGAAGCAAGGTGATCACTTATGACGAAGCATTTCAAATACTCCTTTTCTCTCTTTCCCTTCCCCACCACAGCTTTGCCCAGCTTCCTCCCTGGACTGATACCTGGAGTAAACTTACCAATCATGTCTGTGTCAACAGCACGATCATAATAGTAAGAGAAAGCATAGAAGGAACTTCTCTGGACCTCATCCGGCTGGTGAAGTTTTCCTTGGACCACCCTCAGCACTTCAGTGTAGCAGGGCTCAAAGCCCATTTCCCCTGCCAGGACAAGAGCGTATAGGCACAAGGTGAGAAAAATGAGAGCTCTCTGAAGCAAGCTGTTGGAGCCAACAAAGATATAGCAGGAGGATCAAGGAAAGCAGATGCTGAAGCAAAGGGCTTACAAAGCTGAGCAAACTTCCATAGCCCTGTCTCTGTGAAGGAAGTGCTTCTGCTTCCCCATGGCAGCTCCCCTCCCTAACCTGTGTTCACCAAAAATAGCCATATGCAACCTGAAGCTACTGCCTAGCCTTATGTGCCATGGTAGTGCCATGGTATTTCCTTCACTGGAAAAATTGAGGTTTTTTTCTTGACTTTAAGGTCTCTGTTTTTTATAATACCTGAGATGAATTACTTTTCTTATGGTCTCAGTTTTAAATGTTACTATTATTTAAAAAGCTAAACAACAGGGCACCTGGGTGGCTCAGCTGGCTAAGTGGCCAACTCTTGATTTTGGCTCAGGTCATGATCTCACGGTTCATTAAGATAGAGCTTTGCATCAGATCCTGCACTAACAGTGCTGAGCCTGCTTAGGATTCTCTCTCTCTCCTTCCCTCTGCCCCTCCCCTGCTCATACTGTTTGTCTTTCTCAAAATAAATAAACTTAAAAAAATATAAACTTTTAAAAAGTAAAAAATAAAATAAAAAGCTAAACATTAACTGAATCTGAAATAGTGTTTCTCTTTGCTAAGGGCACAGACCCTTTAAAGCATCAGACCTAGGTCAAGAACAGGTTTCTAATGGGTCTACAGCACTTGGGCAGGGAAAGAGCAGGACAGAGTGACAGTGCCTTGTTCACTGTCACTTCACACTATCCCTTAAAGGCATACCAAGATCTATTTGGAATGAGTCCCTGCAAAAGACAAGCTTCTCTTAAGTTCTGAAAAACATTTCCTGTTGGACTTTTCCAGACTTCTACTGTAAAGGTAATTTCAACCAGTGAAAAAACATCACTTGCCTTCTTTGTTGCCACCATACTGGTATTTCACACCCCCAAAGATCCACTCTGCTTCCAACCATCTTGGTAGACAAGCACTTCGGAAAGTGTGTCCATCAATCCCTGAAAAAAGCCAGACCACAAACACAAAGTAAGAGGTGGGTGGGTGTGTGGGTGTGTGTGTGTGTGTGTGTGTGTGTCAGAGAGACAGAGAGACAGAGAGAGAGAGAGACAGAGAGAGAGAAAGAGAATGTGTGAAAGACACATGCACGCATGCACACACAAATGCAAGAAGCCAATAAGGTTGAAAGGAATTAACAAAGTAGGTAGTTCCATGATTGTGTCCTATGATAGGAATTCTTAACTCAGGGTTCATAGATGGGCTCTGTGGGGGTGGTGAAGCCCTTGAAATTATAAATATTTGTGCATATATGCATTTGGCAGAAGGATCCATGGCTTTTATCACATCTCAAAGAAATCCAAAACTTACACTGAAATAAGTTCCCTCCTTTCTAAAAAAAAAAAAAAAAAAAGGTAAAAAATAAGCTGCTACTTTTCTCAAAGTAATAGTTTACTGTGAGCCAGGCAGGCACCATAGAAAGTGCATTAAATGCAAAATCTCATATAAAGTGAGGAAAGAGGCATAGAAAGGTTAGCTAACTTGGCCCAAATCACAAAGCAGGCTGAACCCAGTTCTACCTGACTCCAAAAGCTGAGATCTTAAATGTTCTACCATGTTGGAAGAGGTGAATAAAGTTGTTCAGTTACTCCACTCTGCAAGTGGACTGATGCTGCTTCCTGCACCTCCCACGTAAAACTAAGGGCTTGAACAAGCTTCTGCCAAATTTCACTCTTTGAACCTTGAGTTTCCGCACAGTTCAGCCTCCTGGTCACAGGCTATTCCCCCTATTTATACAGCCTTCATTCCAGGAATGGTTAATAATGTATACCAAAACAACTGAACACAACATAAAGTAGAAAAGGAATTTGCTGTTATGTCCATTATGTAACACATGCTTCCATAAAGCTTTCCTCCACAGAATCACTGTCAAAGAAGGGGAAAGGAAAGCTGAATACTAGTGTCACTCTCACCATACCCCAACCAGCACAGGTACCCACACGAACCTTCTGTTTCCAGGGCTCCCAGGGTTGCTAGTCTTGCAGCTTTTAATCCAAATCCCAAGTAACTGTAAAATACAGGATTGACTAATTTCATGTTGGTCCTGAAGCTCTCCAGCCTAAAGCTACCTCTTTCCAAAGTAGCATGGTTTCTGTGTCTCCCTCTGAGGGAGGAAAACCTTGTTCTCTGCAACCTCTTCATCTTGTGTGGACAAGTGGTAATTTCTGCAGTTTAGATCAAGGCCATCCAGAACTTTCCATGCCTATGATCTAAAGGCCAGAAAGTGACACTTTCTATAGTCCGACCTTGGAAACCATCCCCAGGAAAGCTCTCATTATTTAGCTTCCAGCCCCACTGTGATCAAATCAAAGGCCAGATTTAGAACATCTGAAGGCAACTCAAAGGAGTTGGCACAGAGCTTTGGCTGAAGTTCATCCAAGTGTTCTCTCTAGAGAAAACTTTTAACTCTTTAAGTTATATACTTCTGAGGCCAAGAACGGAGAAACGTCTAGGGTCCTTGATCTATGGTTTTAGTTGTCACACTTTTGGGGATTGGCAAAAACTTTGTAAGACTGTCAGATGGAGTAACAGATGTGAAAATGCTTTGGAAAGTTAGGAGAATCATACAATATGAAATATTATTCCTCCCTGACCCCCTCCTCACCTATGTGTATAGAGCTTATAAGTGCTGTTAAACATCTCAAATGAAGTGAGGTAGCCCCTAGGGGTTTGTTCCAGGGTCTTCTGCAAATCAGAAAAAGCAAAAAGACTATTCAGGATCTGCACGTGTTGGCAGGTGTTACCACCACCATCCCTGTCCCTCCCCCAAAAAATCAGAGATGAAAGAGAAGACTAAGTTGCTAATCTCAAAAGGCTGGAAGAATCAAAAGGACTCTGAACAGTGAGGGGGCAAGGGGAAGTGCACAGTTATTAACTGACTCCACTCAGACTATTTGTGGTGGAGCTGATGTCTTAAAATGGGGCACCACTTTCTTGGCACCACCATATACTTGCCAAATGGGTTGCTAACCAGGCCTTCATATACATGACTCACCTTAAACTGGGGTAGGAATGTGATTTGGGTGGAGGCTCCCCCGAGGTCCAGGGTTCCCACAGTCTCTCGGCTGTGGCCATGTAGCTGACCTGTGAATGAGAGCCGGCTCTGAGTATCTTCTGCTTCCTGGACAGCTCAACACTCCTCTGTCCTGCTCTTGTATACTGCAGGTATTTTGTAAGTACTCTATCTCTCCCTGGCCCTGAAGACTATAGGTGAACACTAACCTAGAAGGACTCTTGCTGCAGCTGAGGCCTTGAAGATGGTTATGAACAATAACTTCCTATCTTTTTCCTTTCTTTCTTTCTTTTCTTAAAGCACAATGCAAGCAAAAAGAGATTTTTATGCTATGACCCCCATGTGAAACCCAGTTAATATCTTAGAATAAACTTAAGAAGGTATTACCTGTCAGAAAATTCACAGTAACCCAAGCTAATATGCCTGAAAGAGAGAGAAAAACAAGGATTACATCTCAGCGCATTTCCCCCTAATCTTTCTTGACCCAATTTTTGTTCTTTTTCTCTAAATTTTGTTTCTAAAACACGTTTTCCTTCTCCCTGTCCTTCCATTTCCTATTATTCCATCCCTCCTTGCTTATTTGTTTCTCCTCATTTGGTTCCTTTTACTTCCGCACCTCCATCCCTATTCCCAGTTCCTTTAATCTAAATGTTTACTAACCCTTGCCCACTTCCCACAGAACATATACTAACACCTCTCCCACCTTCATAAGATCCATCCATGATGCTAACACTGTCATTTGGTACCAGGAAAGGTGACTTCTTGAAGATTTCTCTTACCTAGAGAAAAAGGGAAAAAACCTGGATTCCCTAAGGCAATAAAGAAGATTTCCATACTTTGGCTATATCGTATAAGGTTTAGAAAACTACACTCTTCATTTCCCTAAATAAAATTTTAGTAGAACTCATTTCTTTTTTAAGTTTATTTATTTATTTTGAAAGAGAGAGAGAGAGAGAATGAGGAGGGGAGGGGTAGAGAGAGGGGGACAGAGGATCCAAAGTGGGCTGTGAAGCAGGTTCTGTACTGACAGCAGAAAGCCTGATGTGGGGCTCAAATTCACAAACCCTGAGATCACAAGCTGAGGTGAAGTCAGACACTTAACAGACTGAGCCACCTAGGCAGGGATCCCTAGCAGAACTCATTCCTTTTCTCTAAAAAACCAGAGAAGGGAACTACAGAAACCATTGTTAGTTTCTTGTAAAAACAAAACCACAGGGATTTCTCTGACGTTAAAATAAATCCCAACCAGGGGTACCCGGGTGGCTTAGTCGGTTAAGCGTCTGACTTCACCTCCCATCAGGATCTTAAGGTTCATGAGTTTAAACCTCACAACGGGCTCTGTGCTGACAGCACAGAGCTTATTTGGATTTTCTCTCTCCCTCTCTCTCTGCCCCTCCCCTGTTCATGCTCTCAAAAATAAACATTAAAACAATTTTTTAAATAAATAAATCTCAACCACTGTCTACATTTATAGGTGAACTGGACCTAAGGAAGGGCATACATTTGACTCAGCTCAAATCAGGATCCTGTAATTTTTTTTAAAAACACCTTATTAATCTTGCCCGGGCACACTGGAAGCTAAGAAGACCCTTTCCCACTTCATTTCTTAGATGACAAGATAAACAGATGACAGAGAAGAGTTGGCGTGGACAGTTCCTGAGGCTACAGAAATATTCTGCTCTCCCATCGAATTCTGCATGTCTTTGCCCTTGCTGGTAAAAAGGACTCATGTCCATGGGCTGGAGTACTCTCAGCCCGTTAGATTCATGGCTGAGGCCTCAAGGATCCAGAGATCTCAGGTCTAGATTTATTTATCCTGTTTTAGGAGATGGGAATGAACTTCTTACACACTCTTCACTCTCCACAAATACAGGTCAATGACATGGGTGTTATGTCTTATTTTTTTATATGATTATCATGAGGCAGGGGGAGACTTTCCAAACAGGAACAGAAGGAACTCTGGTCTACTAGCTGTTCTCATTCCTGATAGGATGAAACACTTCATATGGTGACCTCTGGACCCTGTTTCATCCAGGAAAATGCAGTTAAGTGATCTATAAACAAGCTTTTAAAGATAAGATAGATAAGCAAACAGTAATAAACACAGAGAGTTCCTGCTCTTGCCCTCTCCACTCTCCCTTGCTCACAGTTTATTCTCAACACAGAAGCCAGAGTGTGCTTTTAAAACAGATGTCAGATACTGCCTCTCAAGACCCTCCAATGACTTCCTTCTTGGAGAAAAAGCCAAAGTCCTTACACTTGCCTTTTAAGGCCCTACATGATCTACCCCTCACACCTCCTCTGATCTCATCTCCTACTTCCCTTCCATCAGTCACTCCCTTCCAGCCACACTGAACCCCTGAATGCTGTTCTTTGAGTATACCAAGCATTTCCCCTGATTTAGGCCTTTCACCTGCCACTGCTTTAGCTTGGAATATTCTTCCTACAAATGTCTTGTATAGCTTGCTTCTTTACTCCTCTCAGGTCTCTGATCAAATGGATCGTATCCAGTCTTCCCTGACCATCCTATTTAAAATAGCAACCCTGTAGATGGACTACCAGCATTCCTTAGCTCCCTTTCCTTGCTTTTCTTTCTCCGTAGCATCTACAGTACCTGACATACTTTGTAGTGAGCTGTTTAGTTGTTTATTTTTTGTCTCCTTGCAACCAGAATGTAAGTTCCATCGGGGCACAGACTATCATTTTTTGCTCTAGGCAGCATATCCCTGGTAACTTCACCAATGTCCAGCACTCATATGCTGAATAAATGAATGAAGAATCAAGATTCAGATTCTCATGCAGACGTGCTAGGCAAACTGTCTTTGGACAAGGGACTTAAATGCTCTGTGTTGACAGTCAAAGGAAATGGGTTTTGAGCTCTGAATTAGCACACCTATAATACAGAATATGTCTTTGTTGTGATTTTTGTTATAAAGGGATCCTACCTATAAATATTCTTCATACATAATTTAAATCTTATTAGTCTCCATGTTTTTAAAATAATTTTTATTTAAAAATTTTTAAATGTTTATTTTTTAGAAACAGAGACAGAGAGCACACAAGCAGGGGAGAGGCAGAGAGAGAGGGGGACACAGAATTGGAAGCATGCTCCAGGCGCAGAGCCTGATGTGGGGCTTGAACCCATTAACTGTGAGTTCATAACCTGAGCCAAAGGTGGACACTTAACTGACTGAACTACCAGGCACCCCTTCAATAATTTTTTTGAAGTTTATTTTTTATTTATTTTGAGAGAGAGATAGAGAGCAAGTGGGAGAGGGACAGAGAGAGAGGGAAGCAGAATCACAAGCAGGCTCCATGCTATCAGCACGAAGCCTGATATAAGACTCAAACTCACAAACCATGAGATCATGACCTGAGCTAAAGTCAAGAGTTGAACACTTAGCCAACTGAGCCACCTACGCACCCCTAGAGTTTGCATGGTTTTTGCAAAATAAGTATGTTCGATAATGCTAAAAATACTAAGTTTAAAAAAAAGCTCTATACTTAAATTTTTTATCTGAGTAAGTTTTTTTTTTTTCCTTGGATTTGACAGATATATTTATTTATTTTTCTCTTAAATACTTTATTGTCAAGTTGGTTTCCATATAACACCCAGTGTTCATCCCCACAAGTGCCCTCTTCCATGCCCATTACCCCCCTTCCCCTCCCCCCAACCCCATCAGCCCTCAGTTTGTTCTCGGCATTCAAGAGTCTCTCATGGTTTGCCTCCCTCCCTCTCCCCAACTATTTCTCCCCTTCTTCTCCCCCATGGTCCTCCGTTAAGTTCCTCCTAAGCCTCCTATACATGCAAACATATGGTATTTGTCCTTCTCGGCCTGACTTATTTCACTCAGCATAACACCTTCAAGTTCCATCTATGTTGCTACAAATGGCCAGATTTCATTCTTTCTCATTGCTATGTAGTATTCCATTGTATATCCTAAAATCTGTATGGAACCACAAAAGACCCTGAATAGCCAAAGTAATATTGAAGAAGAAAACCAAAACAGAAGATATCACCATCCCAGACTTCAGCCTCTACTACAAAGCTGTAATCATCAAGACTGTATGGTACTGGCACAAAAACACACAGAGACCAATGCAATAGAATAGAGAACTCAGAATTGGACCCAAAAATGTACAGCCAACTAATCTTTGACAAAGCAGATAAGAGTATCCAATGGAAAAAAGGCAGCCTCTTTAAAAAAATTTTTTTTAAATGTTTTATTTATTTCTGAGACAGAGAGAGACAGCGTGAGCAGGGGAGGGTCAGAGAGAGAGAGGGAGACACAGAATCTGAAGCAGGCTCCAGGCTCTGAGCTAGCTGTCAGCACAGAGCCTGACACGGGGCTTGAACCCACCAACTGTGAGACCATGACATGAGCCAAAGTCAGACACTTAACCGACTAAGCCACCCAGACACCCCGAGTAAGAAGTTTAAATGGATGGATGATCTTTAAAAATCTCTCACACTTAAAATTCCATGATTCTTCTCAAAAACCTTATGCTGATATGCTACTAAAAGACAACTGAGTCAATCAAGAAATCAAAGAAGAGGGGCACCTGGGTGGCTCAGTTGGTTGATCTTGATTGTGGCTCAGGTCATGATCCCAGGGTCATGGGATTGAGCCCCATGTTGGGCTCCATGCTGAGTATGGAGCCTGCTTAAGATTCCCTCTCTCCCTTTGCCCCTCTCCCCTGCTTGTGTGTGCTCTCTCTAAAATTGAAAAAAATCTTTTTTAATTTAAATTTTAAAAAATCAAAGAAGAAATTAAAAATTACACGGAGATAAATGATATTGAAAACACAGTGGTCTAAAATCTTTGGGATGTAGCAAAAGTGGTTCTAAGAGGGAAGTTTAGAGCAATACAGGCCTATCACAAGAAGCAAGAAAAATCTCAAATAAGCAACCTAACCTTACACCTAAAGAAGCTAGAAAAAGAATAAAGAAAACCCAAAAACATCAAAAGAAAGGAAAACAGTATAAGAGCTGAACTAAATGATACAGGAAAAAACAAAACAAAACAAAACAAAAAAAACCAGATCTATGAAACCAGGAGCTGGTGCTCTGAAAAGATCAACAAAATTGATACACCTCTAGCCAGATTCATAAAAAAAAAAAAAGAGAGAGAGAGAGAGAGGGAGAAAATTCAAATAAACAAAAATACAAATGAAAGAGAAGAAATAACAATTGATATCACAGAAATAAACCATAATGAGAGTATTATAAAAAATTATAAGCCAACAAATTGGAAAACATAGAAGAATATGTTTCTAGGATAAATTCCTAGAAACATATACCTCCCAATACCAAAACAGGAAGGAAGAGAAAATTCAAGCAAATAGATACCCAACAAAGAAACTGAATTAGTAATCAAAAAACTCCCAACGAACAGAAGTCGAGATCAGATGGCTTCACAGGCAAATTCTACTTAACATTTAAAGAGGTAATACAGATGGTTCTGGGAGAACTGGACAACAACATGCAGGAGAACTGGATAACAACATGCAGAAGAATGAAACTAGATCACTCTCTCATACCATATGCAAAAATAAACTCAAAATGGATAAAGGACCTGAATGTGAGAGAGGAAACCATCAAAACCCTAGAAGAGAAAGCAGGAAAAAAATCTCCTTGACCTCAACCACAGCAATTTCTTACTTGACACATCCCCAAAGGCAAGGGAATCAAGAGCAAAAATGAACTACTGGGACCTCATCAAGATAAAAAGCTTCTGCACGGCAAAGGAAACAATAAGACTAACAGGCAACCAACGGAATGGGAAAAAATAGTTGCAAATGACATATCAGTTAAAGGGCTAGTATCCAACATCTATAAGGAACTCATCAAACTCCACACCCGAAAAACAAACAATCCAGTGAAGAAATGGGCAGAAGACATGAACAGACACTTCTCCAAAGAGGACATCCAGATGGCCGACAGACACATGACACGATGCTCAGCTTCCCTCATCATCAGGGAAATACAAATCAAAACCATACTGAGATACCACCTCACGCCGATCAGAGTGGCTAAAATGAACAAACCAGGAGACTATAGATGCTGGCGAGAATGTGGAGAAATGGGCACCCTTCTACACTGTCAGAATGTAAGCTGGTGCAACCCCTCTGGAAAACAGTATGGAGGTTCCTTAAAAAAATTAACAATAGGACTTCCCTATGACCCAGCAGTAGCACTGCTAGGAATCCACCCAAGGGATACAGGAGTGCTGATGCACAGAGGCACATGTACCCCAATGTTCATAGCAGCACTCTCAACAATAGCCAAAACATGGAAAGAACCTAAGTGTCCATCAACTGATGAATGAATAAAGAAGATGTGGTAAAAAAATACAATGAAATACTACATGGCAATGAGAAAGAATGAAATCTGGTCATGTGTAGCAACATGGATGGAACTTGAGGGTATTATGCTGAGCGAAATAAGTCAGGCAGAGAAGAACAGATACTATATATTTGCATGTATGGGTGGATTAGGAGGAAACTAACGGAGGACCATGAGGGAGAAGAAGGGGAAAAATAGCTGGGGAGAGGGAGGGAGGCAAACCATGAGAGACTCTTGAATGCTGAGAACAAACTGAGGGCTGATGGGGGTGGGGGAGAGGGAGAGGGGAGGCTTTGGGTATGGGGGAGGGCATTTATTGGGATGAACACTGGGTGTTATATGGAAACCAACTTGACAATAAACTAAAAAAAATTAAAAAAAAAATAAAAGTTAGGTATCCATCCTCACCATCAAAAAAATAAATAAAGAGTTAATACCTATTCTTTTCAAACTATTCCAAAGAATAGAAGAGGAAAGAAAACTTCCAAATTCATTCTATAAGTCCAGCATTACTCTGTTACAAAAACCAGATAAAGATACCAAAAAAAAAAAAAAAAGAGAGAACTACAAGCCAAAACCTCTGATGGAGCAAAAACCCTCAACAAAATACTAGCAAACGAAATCCAACAATACATAAAAAAACCATTTACCACGATCAAGTGGGTTTTATTCCCAGGATTCAAGGCTGGTTCAATATTTGCAAATTAATCAACGTAATGTATCACATCAATATGAGAAAGGATAAAAGCCATATGATCATTTCAACAGAGGCAGAAAAAACATCTGACAAAGTATAATATCCGTTCATGATAAAAAAAAAAATAAACAAAATGGGTTTATAAGCAACATGCCTCAGCATAATGAAGTCCTATGTGAAAAGTCCTATGGTAACCCATAGTTACCATCACACTCAATGGGGAAAAACTGAGAGCTTTTCTCCCAAGTTCAGGAACACAACAAGGCTGTCTACTCTTTTTTTTTTTTTTTTTTTAAGGTTTTTATTTATTTCTAGGAGAGAGAGAGAGAGAGAGAGAGAGAGAGAGAGCGTGAGCAGGGGAGGGTCAGAGAGGGAGGGAGTCACAGACTCTGAAACAGGCTCCAGGCTCTGAGCTGGCAGTCAGCACAGAGCCCGACGCGGGGCCTGAACCCACGAACCGCGAGATCATGACCTAAGCGAAAGTCGGACGCTTAACCGATTAAGCCACCCAGGCACCCCAAGGCTGTCTACTCTTAACCACTTTTATGCAACATAGTACTGGAAGTCCTAGACATGGCAATCAGACAACCAAAAGAAATAAAAGGCATCCAAATTGGTAAAGAAGTAAAACTTTCACTATTTGCAGATGACATGAGACTACATACAGAAAACCCTAAAGACTTGACCAAAAACTGCGAGGACTGATAAATGAATTCAGTGATGTTGTAGGATACAAAAACAATGTACAGAAATCATATTAATGCATATTAGTATGCATTTCTACATACTAATAATGAAGCAGCAGAAAGAGAAATTAAAATAATTTCATTTACAAATGCATCAAGAGGTGCCTCGGTGGCTCAGTTAGTTAAACGTCTGACTTCAGTCAGGTCATGATCTCGTGGTTCATGGGTTTGAGCCCCACATTGGGCTCTGTGCTGACAGCTCAGAGCCTGAAGCCTCCTTTGGATACTGTGTCTCCCTCTCTCTCTGCCCCTCCTCAGCTCGTACTCTCTCAAAAATGAAACTAATGTAACACTGTATGTTAACTATACTGGAATTAAATAAAAATTTAATTTAAAAACCTTTATGCTGAGAGGAAAAAAGATGTAAAAAACATAAACTGTATAATTCCATTTATACGAAATGTAAGAACAAGCAAAACTAATCTACAGTGATAGAAAGCAGGTCAGTGGTTGTCTGGCTTCAGGGGAGGAATAAACTGACTGCAAAGGTATGCAAGGAAACTTTTGTATTTGTCAAAAATACAAAACATGTTCTTTAGGAAAAGCTGTATAAATTCAAGAGTAATGTTTAAAAACGTGAGTAGCTAGAACAAGAGACCAGTTACCGCAGTGCTTCAGCAACGGTGGAATACTAAAGGCAGCAGTCACATTGCAAAGAACTAAAACTCCATAAGGAAAGTATTCACAAAGGGAAAAAGAATCATCTGACATGCAAAGGACTTCGAAGATTACCTCATAGAGCAGAGCCTGGGCTTTTTGTTCTGGCAGTAAGCGCAGTCCCGCTGTTGCCTTCAGGACCACTGGTGTTCTTTTCCAGTGACTTTGTGGAATTGAATCTTTGGCCACCTCTAAGAGTCCTTGGACAGTCTCAGCACCCTTCAAAAGAGATGACCCACTCATTCAGTGGATAGTTCATTTAGTGGCAACTGTCTATTCCCTCAACATGTTCTGGGGGATAATAGAAGTGAGGAAGCAGGGGGCTCCAACCACTCTTTGCGCTATAGGAGAAGAAACCTACAGAAGTAGGCTTCTTTGGAGAAAAATCTATTTCATTTTGGTTGAATGATAAAAAATGATTTTTTTTATAGCATGGTCATTTTAACTGATTGTTATTTTGTGTTTCATAAATTAGCTTCAGGCTAGAAAGTTTGGTACAGTGAAGAAAACTGGATTTAGGGGCGCCTGGGTGGCTCGGTCGGTTGAGCCTCCGACTTCGGCTCAGGTCATGATCTCATGGTTTGTGGGTTCAAGCCCCGCGTTGGGCTCTGTGCTGACAGCTCAGAGCCTGGAGCCTGTTTCAGATTCTGTGTCTCCCTCTCTCTCTGACCCTCCCCTGCTCAACTGTTTCTCTCTCTCAAAAATAAATAAAACATTAAAAAAAAAAAAAAACTACTGGATTTGGAGTTAGAAGACTTGCTAGCCCTGTGGCTTCACATAGGGACTTGGTTTCCTCAACTCTGCAATGGGAGATATGCCTCATCCCACTGCAAAACTGCTAAGTGCATTACATGAAGCAGACTGCATGTAGGTGCACACAAATGCTGGTGTAGCTGTTACTATGCTACAGGTTTTATGATCTCTGGGAAGGACAGAACCTACCAGGTTCATTTTTGCATCACACCACCTACACACACAGGACAGAGTAAATACTCAATTTATGAAATTAAAAACCATTATTTTAAAACCACTGTTTTCCCTGAGTGAACATCTAACAACATACTGCTACCTCTCAATCATTATAATTATTAGCAACCACAACAAAATCTTCTCTAAATGTCCAATCAGTTTTTGACAGCTCCTAATTTTCTGATGCATTTACCATTTCATACTAGTGAGCTGAGAAAATAAACATCTTCCCAGGTCTTCAAGTTCGGGCCATTCTTTTTCCTAAGATTTTAAGTAATCACATGCTCTACCAGCTGAGCCAGCCATGTATCCCAAGCCATTTTTTTTTTTTTTTTTTTTTTTACAAATAGTTTATTGTCAAATTAGTTTCTACATAACACTCAGTGCTCATCCCCAAAGTGCCCTCCTTCATGCCCATCTCCCCCTCCCCCCCACATCCATCAGTCCTCAGTTTTTGTCAGCATTCAAGAGTCTCTCATGGTTTGCCTCTCTCCCTTTCCCCCACCATTTCCGCCCTTCTTCTCCCCCTATCCCAAGCCATTTTTAATAGAAGTTTTTCCTTTGGTTAATGACTATGCTTGTAACAATACCTTTACATTTGCTACCAAAGTTCAACATTCTGCCTTATTCTATTTGAGTACAGCCTCTGACACATTGGGTATGGCATGTTATGGGTGCTCAAATGTGAAATACAGTCATGACAAAACTCTCTATACATCCTCAATACCAAAGATTTTTGTTTTCATGAGTCCTTCCCTAATTTCTACAGTATAGGCATGCATGATCTGTCCTATATCAGGGTACCTTGAAATGAAGTTCATTGGGTCTACTGTTCCTCAACTGCCATGTTTATACCTCATACCTTATAGAACTCCATGTCTATCTTCTCCATCTACATTAATCAATGCAGTTGATGACTTCAACTCAAAGTCTTAAATAGTAAATACAAAGGGAGCAATCTCCCAAAAAAATGGTATCATCCCTGCATATCCACAATCTATTCTAGCTTCATTCTGCCCAAGCCCTAGTGAGCTTGGGGTGTACAAGTATAGCTGAGTATATCTGAAGACATACTCAGAGTATAGCTGAGGACAGAAAACTGATCTTACACATGTCCTCAATATCAGCCCTGAACAGCATGAGATATTTAACAGCAGCAGCATGGTAAAGTTAACAAAACATTGAGAATTTAAACATCTAGTTATAAAAAACTCACCTGCTTAGGTTGATCTACAAAAGCAGAAAGTCCTGGCTTCACAGAATCAAAAATTTCCCCTTCCAGAATTGGAAGCTGGCCTATTTTGTCCACGGAAGAAAACAGAAGACAGATGGCTGGTTACCAAAAGCTAGCCTGTTTCTGATAGTGGGCTCTCTATCATATGACCTACTAGATTAACCTATTCCTCCAAGCCATTGCAAGTAATCCCACCTGTGAGGAGTGGCTTGTAGGAGTATTGATTAAAGGGACAGAAGATGACAGGCAATTCTTGAGTCCCTCTGCCATTTCTCAGGGTGGACACCTCCTACTCCTGCTCCTAAGCTCTATATGTAACCTGAGAACACTGGAAATTCAGAAAAAGTTAATCTTCAGGGTCCTCTCATCTCCTTCTCCAAGGATGGCAGTGATTCTCTCTCAAGACCACGTCCAATATTCTCAATATTCTGGACCCTGAAGGATCAACTACCTTTAGAGAAAAGGACAAATTACAATTATATTTATTGAACATATAGGTTTCAGATTACAGGCAACCCAGATCTCTTTAATTTCACAGTGAATTAAAGTATATGTTCAATTATCATCCAAAATTAAGATTCTGTTATTCATATTGGGGTGTCTGGGTGGCTTAGTCAGTTGAGTGTCTGACTTTGGCTCAGGTCACAATCTCACGGTTCATGAGTTTGAGTCCCACATCTAGCTCTGTGCTGATGGCTCAGAGCTTGGAGCCTGCTTTGGATTCTCTCCCTCCCTCCCTCTCTCTCTGCCCCTCCCTCACTCATGCTCTGTCTCTCTCTCTCTCTCAAAAAATAAATGTTAAAAAAAAAATTCTGTTATTCGTATCACATACTCTTAGCACATTCGTTTCTAGAAGGAGAGGCTGAAGTGTAGATTAATAGGCACTGATAAGGGGGGATACAAGTTGCACTTACCTGGTATTTTCTGCACAAAGGTGTAAACATGAATTCGTGTTCCAGTGCTCCCTGCATCAAACATAATTCCATACAATGTGCTAGCACTGACATTCAGGGGGCACATGGAAGACAGGAAGACACCTTCAAACCAAGTCCGTTGGTCTCTGTGGAAGACAGTGCTACAAACACAGGATGTCACCAGCATGAGAAAGGCTGCCCTCCATGCAGTGGCCATTCTCCTCCCAAGATGTGGTGAGTTTAGGCTTTTGTCGTAGCAGTGCTGTTCACACACCTGCAGTGGCTTATAGGACAAAAGACACACACAGTTAGATGAACTGGTCTTTGGTTTAAACACCTACTATAGAAATCCCACCCCCTTCCCTAAGATATTCTTTCTCTATTTTTTATAAGCAGCCAATGAGCTAGATCATAGTAACATAGGCTCTTGGCACCTCTTCCTGAAGAGTACCTTGTTGCAATAGAAAACTAGGATTTAAAATATATTTCCTTATTCTCTGCTTTCAGTTGTAAGGTGGATCCCTCATGCTCAAGGCTCTCTGCCACCCTGCTCTTATTGTTGAGTCCAATTGTCTTCTTTCCATTTTGACAATTTTGTCTTTATTTTTTTTTTAAGTTTTTTTTTTTTTTTTTTTCTAGGAGAGAGAGAGAAAGATAGCGTGAGCAGGGGAGGGTCAGAGAGAGAGGGAGTCACAGACTGAAACAGGCTCCAGGCTCTGAGCTGGCAGTCAGCACAGAGCCCGACGCGGGGCTTGAACCCACTAACCGCGAGATCATGACCTAAGCGAAAGTCGGACGCTTAACCGACTAAGCCACCCAGGCGCCCCAGACAATTTTGTCTTTAGATCATATATTAACCCTCTCTCCCTCCCACTTTCCTTCTCTTTTGTCTTTTTTGATTGATAATGTTTCAATTTCTGAATTAAAGTTATAAAGTTACAAAAAAGTTATAAAATCACTAGTATCTGGGTGTCCACAGGCTTCTGCTACCTGTGACCAATAATATTGCCAGTGGCTTGTACATACAATCACATTTTACGGAAATCAACTTAATTTAAAAACACTTAAATGGACCATTATAGGTCTTCTTTTTTTAAATTTCTTTCTTTCTTTAAGTAATCTCTATATCCAATGTGGGGCTTAAACTCACAACCCAGAGATTAAGAGTTGCATACTCTTCCAGTCCAACTGAACCAGCCAGGAGCCCTGACCATTACAATTTTAAAAAACATATTTCACAGGTTTCAGGCCATGATATCCTTGTAAGAAGTGAAAGCAGATTGGCAAATTAAGCCAGAGAGGCTCAATGATTTGTTGAAAGTCATAAAGCAGGTCAATGATGAAATCTTGATCAGAAATCAGTCTTTACCTTGGCCAATCTTTCTTCTTCTCTGATTCTAAAACCCTCCCTTATGGTAAATTATTGCTTATATTTCTTTATATGTTCATAGCAAAGACAAAAATCTTAGCATTAGTGTTCAGCATTACTTGTTTTAGATCATTATAGCAGTTTGAATACAAATGATACTGAAAACCTGGAGTAGGGTTACATGCAAAAATGTCTCTTGGATAAGCTGTATTTTCTCTGCTCTAGGCTCTATTTTTCCTGGTATTCATGAAGAATGCCATATCGATCCTCTAACATGTAAGGCTTCAATTAATGGCCCTTTATGCATTTTGCTCAAAATAGTTTTGAGAGTTCCATTCCAGCTTTCATCTCTAGACTTCTCCTTACGTAAATCACAGTAACTAGTTACATAAGATCTAATTCCGAAGTTCCTATTGTCTGGTTCCCTTATCTCTAATAGAATACTCAGTATATTTGGTTCCCTTATCTCTAATAGAATACTCAGTATATTTGGAGTATAGATGGAGGATTCTCAGTCATTCTCAAGTTTGTTGACCTCCTAGGGTTCATTTTATCAAAATGCCTCTCTTTCCATAGGTGACATATTGTATAATATAATGCAAATTGAGGGGTGCCTGGGGACTGAGTTCGAGCCTGCATTTGGCTCACTCCACTGACAGCACAGAGCCTGCTTCCAATCCTCTCTCTGCCCTTCCCCTGCTTGTTTAATGTTTAATATTAATGTTTAAGTATAATGTTTAAAATGATTAAATATAATGTTTAAAATGTTTAAAATAAACATTTTTAAATAATGCAAATTGAAGTTAATTGCATTTGGAGTTTAAAATTTTTTAAACTACAGTAGTTCTGAGGTACTAAAAGACAGAATTAGAATTATCAGTTTGAACATAGTTCAAGGCTGGAGTTCTAGTCCATAGTTAAGAATAAAGGTTTTGACTAGGGGGGAAAGAAAACAACTTTTTGAGTCTCGAAGAAAATTTTATCCCAGGAAAACAACACTGAAATAGAGCATCTGCTTGGCCAGATTCATACTCACATCTTAAATCACCCTTTGGCTGATTCTTCTTTTACAGCAGACAGACTGGTCATGTAGATCAATCTAAATAAGTGAAAACAGAAATAACCATTTCAGATTCTTGGAGTATTAATGGATCCTTGCCATGACGAGATTTCAAACTATATCCAGTCCTTGGTCCCTTTTCTCCCTCACGAAGAGCATTTAGGGCTCTCCAGTCACCAGCTTTCCTCCACCTCTGTGACTAATTCCAGAGCAGCAGCTTAGGGCTCTCTCATTTTTTTCTCTATTATTGTGGTTTCTGGAAAATCCTCTCCAGCTTCTATTTCCATTAAGCAAACATCTGTTTTTCTTCCAAAAGAGATTTCACGTGGAAAAAAAATGCATTCTAGGTATCTGTTTTCATGAAGTGAAAAAGTGCAGAGTCATACCAGGTGTTTAGTGTGAAACTAAACAGAGCTTAGAGAAAGCAAAGGATGAAAACATAAAATGCCCCTTCTGCTTTTAATCCCTACTTTCTAACACCACTTCCACTCTCATTTTTCTTTAAGAGTAGTTAAGAATGGTATTAGAAAGGCTTACAATTTAGAGTGTGTAGCATGGGATCCTCTCTTACATGACCGCAGCCTGCAAAGCTTGCTCGTTCACTTCGTTAGTCTTCGCTCAAATGTCACCTTCTTGAGACCTTCCCTGTCTATTCAATTTAAAAGTACAGCCCACCTGGCTACATGCACATCTTCTATCTTCCTTTCCTGTTTATTTTTTTTCCCCATAGCGTTTTCCACCTTTTGTATAGTTTACTACTTTTGTGGGATTTTTCTTCATATTCCCTGCTCTGTCCCATCCTCATGTAAGGATGACTTCTTTCCAAAAGGTTAATTACATTCCCACTGGAAGATCACGATTCCAAACTTCCAAAGCAAGACTGTTTCTTCAAATATGTCAATTATATGTTTTATATGCTATTCAAAACAACACAGATAGTCAAGTTTACTTTCTACAGACTGGGGAGTATACACATCAGTATACTGAAATTCATTCCTTTCAGAAATGATCTTCTCAACATCTCTTGCTCACTCTCTCATTCACCCCCGTAAAGCCTCCTCTTCAATTTTTTTGAGACCTTGGTGCTAGCTAGTGTTTGTCACTATTCTCATTTCCTTCCAAGGTCTTTTCAATATTATCTTTGTCTCTATAGGAAACACTAATACTCCCTGGTCAGCTTCCCCAGAGCTTCACACTCCAGATTCCCTTCTTCCATGTCACCCAGACATACCACAATCTCACAGAACCTGGGCCCCATTTGGGTGCTCACCTGCTCATGTCTGCCTGTTCCCGTGAATCCTTGCTTTCACTGTTGGTTGCCTTTTGCTCTTTGCTCCTATTTCAACCCTTCTAATCAACCAGGTTCGTGAACCACATTCACCTTTGTGCTAGGTTGCAACCAACTACGTGGCATTTTGCTAACTTACTCCCTTCTTGATCTTTCACTCCTACCTTATCCACCTTTTTCTGGGTACACATGATTGTCTGGTTCATCTACTTTTATAATAGTTAAGTTTCAACTTAGTAGATTATTGTTTGTAGGGCAGAAGTTGCTTAGGAACTGAATTCTGTGTTTTTATGCAGGATATTACAGGTTATATTTACAATTACAAAATATATAACTATGTAATAATGTTATTAATTCCCTAATTATTTCATGTTTTTACAACCTTAGTCCACTCCTTGGTAGCTTCTTTCCTTGAGATGAACTTAGAAACCTGGACACTGAATTGTCTAATTCATAAGCATTTGCTGAATGTGGAACACCTGGGTGGCTCAGTTAAGCATCCAACTTTCAGTTTCAGCTGAGGTCATGATCTTGTGGTTCATGGGATCAAGCCCCATGTTGAGCTCTAGGCTCATAGTTGCACAACCTGCTTGGGATTCTCTCTCCCCTTCTCTCTGCCCCTCTCCTGCACATACGTGCATGCTCTCTCAAATAAACTTTTAAATAAATATTTTTTAAAAATTAAAGTAAATAAAAAGGTCATATATTTAAAAAAAATAAGCATTTAAATATATACCAGACATTCCTATCTTCTAGATACAAAAGAGGAATTAGATCCAGGCCCAACTCTTGGGGAAACTTCAGCTTCCTAGAAGAAACAGCCAAATAAACCAACAGCTATACTGTACATACTGTGGTAAGTTCTCTCATGGGAATACGCATAGAATGTTTTAGGAATGAACCTAAGAGGCAAGTTAACTCATTTCAGAGTTACATCTCAGAGGACGGATGGAGTTGGGAAGGAAGAGGGAGGCGCCTTAAGGGATAAGAGGCCTAAGCTGGGTCCTGAATCAGAGGTAGGAATTAGCCTGGTGAAGTGACACAAGGAGAATCCTGAGAACTTTAAGTATTAAAGAGATGGTAGTATACAGAACCAGAACAGAGCACAGGTGTGAGGAATGATGGTTCTGTAAGCAGTGAATCATATTTCAAAGAATGGACTGGTTTTCCTTATACAGTTCCATGGGAACACCTGATTGTTATTTAAGTCCTTCTATTCCCTCTCTAAACAAGTATTGAGTGACCTGAATAAAATGACACAGTATTTCTCAACAGTTTAAAATAACAGAATGGGTTAGGTAACTGGAAAGGTGCACCAAAAAGTCTTTGAAGCTCCCACTGCCAATTCATCTGAGCTCCACAGAAAAGCTAGCTTTAGAGAAGTTAAAAATTAAACACAAAGCAAGTTTAAAATGTAACCAGAATGATAACTTTAAATAAGATGAACTATGGAAATGTATTAGCCAAACCACCTAAAGCATAAGTTAGTCAAGCAAAGCAAAAGCAAAACTTGTCTAATTTAAGTATGAAATAGATTCAGCACAGTGAGCAATGCTTCATTTGGGAATATAAGTTGGGACCTACATACCCAATACCAAGGGCCAGAGCTCTGGAGCCCTTTGCTATTTGAAGAGTGCCTAAGGTGAGGGTACATGAGATCTCTTGTATTTGCAAACCCGAGTACTAAGCCTGGAACATGTTAAACATCAGTACATTTCTCATAAATAGACTTGGTACAATTGAACTAATAATAACTGCAGACAAAAGCACTGGGGAAGAGGGTACCAGCTCTACCTCTGTAGAGTTAAAATGTGACAGCACAGCTGCGATACTCTGAGAGTTTAAAACAGGGAGAGGTTATTTTCAGCTGGAATAATTGAGAAGGCTTTATAAAAGAAGTGGCATTTGAAGAAGGTCCTGAGAAGTGGCATTAAGACAGGAGAGGAGCGCTTTTCAGGAAACAATGATTCAAGACATGGATGTAGAAAAGAGACGGAAGCCCCTGGGGAATAGTGAACACGTCAGTTTGACTAACTGTAATAAGGAAATAAAGTTGGAAAGGCAAATTCAATTTAGACAGGAGAGGACACCAAACACTTGGCTGAGTGGAGGCTAAACTCTGTAGGCAATGGGAAGTCATTGAAGATTTTGAGCAAGAGAGTATCACAAATATGAATCTGGCCGTTACATGTAATGGAAGCCTTAGTAGGCTCCATTCCAGTGTCTAATTCTACAAATGTTCACTGATCCCCACTAAGTGCTAGGTGCTTGAGAATTAAACGTGAATAAACAGACTTTTTTATTCAAGATGCTCAGTCTGGCAGAGGTGACAGACATAAACACAAATAACCGCATCTTCAAGTTAATCATAAAAACACTGAAGGAGCCTGAGGCCTTAAAGGACTAACTTACCGACAGGATTAGGAAAGGCATCATGAGACAGCATTTGAACTGATTGTAAAAAATGAATAGAACTACAAAAATAATATAGACATGTGGATAAAAACCCGAGGGACTATAAAAAGATGAAAACAGTGGGTAAATTATGAATGGCTTGATTTCATTTTTTATTTCCTCAAAAATGGGTCACATGGATTTCAGAAACAAAAAGGGACACTATTAGTGGCGGAGGGTATAGAAGATGGGGTTAGCACTTAATCCAGAGAACTGTGGCCAAAGGAGTACAATCTGATGTAATAATAATAATATCAGCTAATATTTATTGGTACCTTAATCCTAGCTAAGCACTATGTTAAGTATTTTACATGCATTATCTCATTTAATCTCACAGTACCACTCTGTGAGGTAGGTTCTATTTATTAACATTACCAATCTAGAAATGAGAAAACTGAGTCATAAGAAGCCAAGTAATGTAAGACCACATAGTAAGTGGAAAGAGCCAGAAATCAAACCCAGATGGTTTAATACCACAGCCCTCAGTTTTAACCACTAGGTCACCCAGGAAGGGTCACCGAGAATGACTCCAGGGAAAAATGGATTTGAGGGTGGGAAGAGAAGGTAGAGCAGAGAATGATCAGAGATGAAGCTGGAAAGTTAGACTGGCGTCAATATGCAAAAGTCTTACAGTAGTTTGATCTGCTTCCTGTATATGACCAAGAACTTTTGATCTGTTTCCTGCCGGTTAGAACCAGAACTTCATTATATTTCCAGGATCTGACCATTTCTGATCACTCATTGCTACCGCCTTGACCCAAGCCACCATCATCTCTCATGATGTGATTTACTCTGTCTTAACAGAGCTCTGCTTTTTTAAAAAATTTATTTTTTAATGTTTATTCATTTTTGAGAGACAGAGAAACACAAAGCATGAGTGGGGAAGGGGCAGAGAGTGAGGGAGACACAGAATCCAAAGCAGGCTCCAGACTCTGAGCTGTCAGCCCAGAACCTGACATGGAGTTTGAACTCACAAACTGTGAGATCATGACCTGAGCCAAAGTTAGACGCTTAACTGACTGAGCCACCCCAGTGCATTATTATGCTTATAAATACATTAAAAAAATTGTTTATGTATTTTGAGAGAGGGCGAGAGGGAGAACATGTGAATGCAATAGTGAGCAAGGGAGAAGCAAAGAGAGAGGGAGAGAGAATCCCAAACAGACTCTGTGCTGTCAGCACAGGGCCCAATTCAGGGCTTGATCCCACCAGGAGATCAGGACCTGAGCCGAAATCAAGTGTCAGGAGCCTAACTGACTGAGCCACCCAGGTGCCCCAACAGATCTCTGCTTTTGCT